CCTTCTCATCAAAGCTGATGTTACTTCTACTCCTAACTATTTGATAGTCAGCATTCCGGTTCTCTGTTCTCTGGAGTACTCAACTCTGTCTTCATCCTTAATTTCTGTTGAAGTGCTCACCTTCCTTTGTTTCTATCCTGAATTCACGTTGCACAAGACCAGGTCCAGAATTTCCCTCTAGAGTGACTTCCATCCTGTCCTTGCTTTTCATTCTTAGAGTGATACCCTTAAAATAAAGAAAAAAACAAATCACCATCCTATGGCTGGGTGAATTGGCACATACCTGGAGTCTCAAAATTCAGAAGGCAGAGGCAGGTAGATCACTGTGATTGGAGTCTTGCCCCTGGATTTAGTGATGCAGTCTAACACACTGGGACAGCTCTCAGCCATTATTAGGAATATGGGGAAATCCTCAGCCAATATCAGGTCTATAGAGAAACACTGGTGCAGTTCATTACTATTTTTTGTATATGCCTTGTAGTCTCGAACTCTTGGTCCTCCTGCCTCAGACTCATGTATTAGGACTACAGGCACACATTACCACACTGAGGTACAGGGCAGCAGTGGTTCTAAGTTTAGCTTCATTTTGAGGTGGCCAGTGGCTGTTTTCATGCTGAGCTTGAGCTTTCAACCTCCCTCCCGTTTCCTGTTCCTATTTTGGTTTCTTAATCATTGTTCCCATATATTCCTGATATATGTATCATAGACTTTAACCTGCAGATGAATTTCCTGGATATCTTGTTACAGTGAAGATCATTTCTTTTAAATGCAGCCTAATAGGAGGCCTGGGATAGTGCCTAGGATTCTGAATTTTTAAAATTGTATTTATTTATTTATTTATTTATTTATTTATTTATTTATTTATTTACTTACTTACTTACTTACTTATTTACTTATTTATTTATTTGTGTATAGGTGTGCATGTGCCACACAGTATAGAGGTCAGAGGACAACTCTCTGGAGTCAGTTCTCTCCTGCCACCTTGTGGGGTTCAATGATTGAAGTCAGGTTGCTAGGCCTCTACTAGTTGAGCAATGACACTTGCCCAAGATTCTGCATTTCTAACAAGCCCTGAGGTCATGCTGCTGGCTTAAAGGTTTACGCTAGGGCAACAATCTAAATTCTTAAACACGTTCTCTTTCTTACTCATCAGAAGGGACAGTAGGTACTATTATGTCTATATGATATCTATAGCCTATGCTGTTTACCTCGCTAGCCTCCAGTATAACAAAGTGTTATAACCTCTTAGAGACACAACAACAAAAAAAAAATGTGATGATTGGGTTCTGTCACTGAAGAATTAAAATTAGTATGTATAGGGCAGGATTTCAGAAGTGGTGTTTTTGCAAAGTACCCCAACAATCTTGCTGATTTAAAAAAAAAGATTTTGTTAATTGTGTAAATGTGTGTATCTATGTGGAGGTACATGCTTGTCAGTGCAGGTACTTGCAGAGGCCAGAGGCATCGGATCCTACTATAGCTGGAGTTTGTGGGATGTGGGTGCTGGGAATCAAAATCAGGCCCTCTGCAAGAGTAGTATACACTCTTAACCTGATCAATCTTTCCAGGAACATTTGTTTTTGTTAAATATGTATATCTTTTTTTTAATTTTTTGTGTCTTTTTTAGTTACTTCAATTTACATCTCCATAATAGGCCCCTCTCTCCTCTCCTCCCAGTACCACCCTCCCTCCTGCATGCCCTCTCCCTTATTCCTCAGTATAGGGAGCTCCTCTACCCACACACCCTAGCTCATTTATTCACATGAAGACCGTGTTACTCTTCCTCCCCTGAGGCCTTGTAGGGAAGTCCCATCAAGGGGAAGTGATCAAAAAGTAGGCAACATAGTCTGTGTCAGAGATATTCACCACTCCTCTAACTAGAGGGCCCACATGAAGCCTAAGATACCCATTGAACTTATCTTATTGGGGTCTATGCATTGTTGTATGTCAATCCTGTACTATATGACTAAAATCCGCTTATAAGTGAAAATACATGTATCTTATAGGGTAATGCCCAACCTGAAATCTTAAATGAAAAGTCTTCCCCAACAGATTCAATGTCATTTTTTTACTTTGCTTTCTGTCTCTGCCTCTCTCTATATATATATTTCCCCTCTATTCTTCTCTCCCCCCCATCTCTCTTTGTTCTGGACATAGTCACTGTAACTAATTCATCTTAGTTTCATATATATATATTAGTTTTTATTTATTACATATAGATTATACTGCTGGCTTACCAAGAATTTTGAGCTGATTGAAAACACGGTACCATGGAAAGAAACTTTCTCTCTTTGAGTCTGTGGAATCAAGTTACCCTCTTAAATTTTACCAAGTCAGTGTTCCTCTCTTATTAAAGTTCCAGGGAAGAGTGACGTTTATGGAAGAGTAGAAAATGTGGTTGTGATGGCTGCAACGGAAGCACAAATAACATCCTTACCCTAACACACAAGCAAAGACATTGTCACATTCCAATCTTATTGAGACTCGAGATTCCTCAAGGACAGTGACACTGTCTTACATTTATTCTATGTCATTTTCATAAGTCTCAAGCAGCTCATGCCCATTACTAAACAACAAGCTAAGAAAGGTCTGCATATGTTCGCTACTTGCCTAGAAGATAGCACAACGCTAGATATGGACAGCATCCTTACAGCTAATTAGTTGAAACAGCCTCAGAATTTCCTGCTTAGCCTTTCACAACGTTCTTGAATCTAGCAAATATTACACGTCAGGTCTCAATATACATTCACTTTTAAGTCACCATTACAACAGCTCTATGTGGCTGTGGCAGGCATAACGCTAACAGCAGTTCTGAGTAATCAGCACCTGCCCACATCCTCTTAACTTACATGGGAAAACAAACAAACAAACAAACAAACAAAAAAAAACACTAGCAGCCTAATTGGACTTAAGAAACAAGACTGACTCAGCACATAGCGGCATTTGAAAAAATAACAAGAAATAATGCCCACAAGCCCTCTTTGTGTACCCAGCCTTTACAGGCAGAACTTCGGAGCAGCAACAGGGGAGTCAGGGCTGTCTCACCCAACTGGCCTCTAGATGTGTTTCCTGTTGCACTTTCCTTGCCTTGTTTCTTTTAATTTGAGTGACCTTTACAAAAAGGTTTATAGTGGCTCTCTACCCAATGCCACACCCCCTTTTATTTTTGTGCCACTAAGCACCTGCTGCTTTTTTCTTTGTTCAAAAAGCTTTAGCATATGCTTAGAAAACCTTCATTGTCAGGTGTCACATGTTTTGAAGGAGAGTTGGATACTGCCTTCTACAAAGGGAATGGGGTCTAAAGAGTGCTCCTCTTGCTTAGGGCTACTGTCTAGCCTCTGACATATGTGGTACCTGGCAGCTGTAAATTTTCCTCAAGTAAACAGAGCAGTTGGTGACTTACTTGTATGTGTGGAAACACTGTCTATTGATTTGAGATCAATCAGTCTTCTGAGCCGTTCCAAAGCAAATCTTTTCCTTTCAATCCCCAAATGGTAATCATGGTAATAGTGATAAGTAGTCAAAATTAATCAAGTAGAATAAATACTATGCAGTCTTACTAAGGATTTTTTTTTATTAACTTCATAAATTATCCCTGCTGTACAGATAAAGAACCTGAAGATGCATAAGTAACTTGTCCAAGCAGTGTGTCAAGGTAATAAATGAGAAGGTCAGTCAGGACTGAAACTCATGTCCTGCTTCAGTAAGTTGTACTGCTAGCGACTGATTGACACCACTAGGCTCATGGTTATTGACTCAGTCCTGGCAATGCTGGACTCAAGTAAGAAACTCTTCTATCTTCAAGCATGGAGTATCAGCAGGCTACCTACAAGGAGCCTTTCAGATTATAAAAAAGTACCACAGCCTCCTGGGCATCAAACAAATGCTGCAAACTTCCATGGCAACACGCTTGGAAGCTTTCTTGATGGGCCCTGACATTGTAGCAAACATACATTTCTTTGGGTCCTGAAAAAAACGAGCCTTTCTTTACCACTGTCTGTTATTAACTACCTTTCTAACGTGTATCAGGAAGGGCCAACTCCACTAATACCATGAATGTATAGCTTTATGGTGTATGTATTAGTGCTAGCTAAAGGTCAAGCCTGATTCTGATAGTATTTTTAATAGAGTCTTTCTCACCATTTCTTTGACCATAACTTATTTCTTTCACCAGCCGATCCTCTCGACTGCTGCCCATTTCTTGTGAGACTCCACAACTGTTGTATACTTCAGAGAAAATTGAAAACTTGCCCAAAAAAAATTGTAAAAGCTACACCAAAAAAGCCAGCTCGTATGATTTTTAGGTCAGAAAGAAAGGCATTTTTTTTTTCTTCTGAAAGAGATCATTGATCTTGACTGTTGAGCACACAGCTGGCTCCATGGTTAAGGAGCACAGGGGCCTGGGAAACTTTCAGGAAAGAGCATGTGTGCATTCTGCTTCTGGCTTCCCTGAAGTCTGTTGCTGAAGATTTAAGGTGTGAGTCCCATGCAACAACTCTCAGGAGCTGCCCCTATTTTCAAGGCGACTAATTAGGACAGCTCACACTCAGACCCAGAAGTGCCATTCTAATGCATTAGCAAAGATTAGAAACAGAAGGGTCATGAGTCACAACTGAACTGATGGAGACAGTATCAGAGATACACGCAGTTTTTGCAGTGAACAGCATGTATTAAATACCGACTATGGGTACTGCCAGCTTAAATGAAAAGGCAAAGGTATCTGTTAAGCCACTTAGGAGTTGCGATCTGCTGCCCGATTCTCATTTGGACAAAGCAGGCAGCTGGGCAGTGATTGAAGTGTCCAGCAGGGGGCTGGCATTCACTGTCTATACGTGGTCCTGGCTCCTCTTCAGAGCCTCAGCTCAGAAGAGCTGCCGTTTGCTGGGGAAGCCAGTGACGTGCAAAGCATCCTGCCTATAGGATTGGAGGCTTTCTTGGTGCAGTTTTTTCCTACCCACTTTAAACGTTCAGGTTCTACATATCAGGAAAGACGGGAAATGCTGTGTGAAAATAGCAATCCAAAAGTTCTTAGTAAACTGCAGCCAGAGAGACTCAGACTAGGATGGAGGTAGGAAAAGCTGAGACGAAGTGGGTGGAATTGTAAGCTTTTCTTCAGGCTGAGTTTCTGTTGCTTGTTAACTTAGTGGATTTACAGATGTATTTCTCACTGGTGGTGTGAAGGCTGGGACAGAACCAACATCAACATACTCTAGAGTTTGGAATACCAGTGTGTGTGTGTGTGTGTGTGTGTGTGTGTGTGTCTGTGTGTCTGTGTGCACGCGCTCAGAGTGTTTTTATTAAGGGAGATCAAGAAGAGTCTAGCACAGATCTTACCTTCATCATCTAGCTGAAAAACGAGAAGTTAAGAAGCAGCATCCTGAAGGCATTTTTTTAAAGAGAGAAGTCTTTGAGATGGTTCCAAATAATTGTTCCCACCTGAACTTGGAAGAGGAGCTTTTCCTGACCTGCAACAACACCTTCAACCAAAGTCTGAATCCCCCCAAGATGGAGAACTGGTTCCACCCGGGAATCATCTATGTCATCCCTGCAGTTTATGGGGTTATCATCGTGATAGGCCTCATCGGCAACATCACCCTGATCAAGATTTTCTGTACAGTCAAGTCCATGAGAAACGTGCCAAACTTGTTCATCTCTAGCCTGGCTTTGGGAGATCTGCTGCTCCTGGTAACGTGTGCCCCTGTGGATGCCAGCAAGTACCTGGCTGACAGGTGGCTCTTTGGCAGGGTTGGCTGTAAACTGATCCCCTTTATACAACTTACTTCAGTGGGGGTGTCTGTCTTCACACTTACGGCACTGTCAGCAGACAGGTGAGTACTCACTGGAAGTTATATCCTCTCTCAGGGTGGTGGACCAAGTACTGAATGACACGGGAAAGCTGTTTGCCCAAAAGGGAGTTTTACTCAAACTCACATTCCCTTCCAAGCATGGTTTTGTTCTGGAAATTACTTCTGGAGTCTGGCATATTAGTTTAAGAAAAGAAAAATGCGTGAATGGTAGAGACAGGAGGAGACAAATGGGAATTAAATCTCTGAGACCAAGGGGCATTTTTTTATTTCTAAAGAAAAATCATCACTTCAATCTGACTTTTCCCTCCCTGAAAAATTAATTGAGCAGTGAGAAGGACAATCACACCCCATAGGTTTAACCTCAGGCTAATGTTTCTTAGAAGCAGTTCAGAACCTTTTAGGAAACACAGACGTTCCCACCGCCCCTCTGTAAAATCCTCTTTGAAAAAGAACAAAAATTCAGCTCTATTTCTTTGAGCTTTGTTTTCCTTGGACAGTCTTAACTTTTCTTATAGCTCATTTTTAGTATGGCTGAACAGAACAGTTGTGTGTTGATTTTTCTAAGTCTCCCTTCAATGCATTTAAACATGATTACTTCCTTTGGCCCAGCTAAGCAAGCATTGTTCACGGTTGACTTCCAATTTTAATAGCTTTATTAATGTCCTTCTATGTACAAATGTCTTTGGAGCTTGGTGGGGGTGAGTGTCTCCATTTATTCTGGAAAATACACATCTTTGTGAACTCCATATATATTTATATATAATAATACATTATATGATTCTATATTAGCACAATCTTAAAACCTGTATTTATCAAATACCTACCATGTTAAAAAAAAAACTCATGCTTGAAAAGCAAGTAAATAAATATTGCAGGATATTCACACACATTGCTGACTGCATCTTACGTTCTGAAGATTAAACACAGAAATGATTAGACTAGCACAGACAACATATGCTAGATGGCTGATGTAAGAAAAACCGGTCTTGTGGGCCAGAAACTATAAACTGTTATCTTACGTCCACTATTTGGTATATAGTAAAGATACGTAGGCCCAGAGTGTATGCTGGAAAGAGCATAGATACCGTTCTTAAAAGTTTAAACTCTGAAGAAAACGGCCTACATTTTCATACATGTGGTGCTGGAATCTCTTTTTGTAAAGGAACAAACTGTCCTCAGGTGAGCTGGCCTTGGTAAGTAATGGACAAATAAAAGATAGCGTTATCAGTATTTGTGCCCATGTGTTTATCCTAAGCTACATAAAGTACACTGCTCAGAACAGATGATATTCTCAGAAACTGAAAAGTAATGGTTCAGAAATGAGGATATTGTGTGGACCAGACCCTGTTTCTTTACTCATCCTTCTCTTGCTCGCACCTTGCCTATTTGCCCTCCAGGTACTAATGACCACAGACACTTTTTTGTGTTTGTTCAGGGTCAGCAAACTTCAGAGCTGACAGAAGCTCCATGGCTGGTTCTCACTGGTGGAGGGCACGTCAGGCTGAGTATAATTTTCTTGATGGGAAGAAGAGATTTGGGTTTCCGGGCTGGTGAATGCAGTGGTCCAGATGGTGTTTACTGTCTCCTCGGGGAGATGAACGGAATGGAAAGGGAGGGCATGGAATAGAAAACTGCAGCTGCAGGGACCCTCTTCCCAGAGTTTCAGAGCAGACTGAACTCGCCATCAGCAGTCAGGGAAAGCTCTGTGCAAAGCTGAGTTGAATGCCACTGCAGCTGCAGTGTGTCCTCACTAACTTTTTGTATTTGGCAGTGCCTTGCAAAGGCTGATGGAACACTGAAATTACAGGTGGTGCATCACACTGACTTCAACAAGAATAGGTGTCTAGCCAGTGTGATAACTTAAGACTGTAGTTTTCTATTTCTCTTGTGTTTGAAAGCTACAAGAGTCTTACAACAGCTTTATGGGCTTGGCAATGTAAATGTGAATTCTATACTTTTCAACAATGTGTCATCTATATACATCCTAAAAGAGGGTAAGTTAACAGCTTAATATCTCATAAGACATCTGTGTATCTCTGGAACCACCACCAGGTTGAGATATTAAGGAGTTCTAGTACCTTGTCCATTTCTAGTTAATATTCCTACCAAGAGGCGACAACTGTTACTACGATTTCATTCACCCGCTATTACTTATTGCACTTCTTGAGCATATAAATGAAATCACTGAGTGAATACAGATTTGTTTTTGCCTTATTATGCCTGGCATATTTCTGTGTTATTCATCTGTGTTGGTATGCTTAGCAGTGATTTTTCGATTTTGTGCGGGGTCCCATTGAAAGAAAAAAACCTCAGGTTATCCTGATGAATATTGATGTATTTCTTATTTGGAGCTGAGAAATTTTTCTAGATACTTACTTTTTTTTTTTTTTAGTATTTCATACAGTGTATTTTGACCATATTGTTTGCCCTTCCCAAAGCCTCATAGATCTTATCTCTTCTCCTCCCAACTTTGTGCTCTTCCCTTTAAAAAAAAAAACAAATAAGCAAAACACACAACAAACAAACATGTGGTCTATTTTGGAAAACTGTTCCTGTTCTGCCCTGGAGTATAGTTGATGTACCAAGTGTCATTTCATTGAAGAAAACATATTTTCCCTCTCTCAGCAGCTGTCGATTACAGATAGCTTCTTGGTTAAGAGTGGGAATTTGTATCTTTCGGTTGATATAAGAATTTCTTTCTTTTAGGCATATGTTCATGTCTGAAATGCTAAGCTATTAGTGCATATATTTAGTAAATATTGTCAGTTTCCAAGTGAGCCTCCATATTTGATAGCTTGCTAAAAGGAAGACTCAAAGTGTCCAATGTAGATGAGCATCAGAACTGAAGGAGAACTTTGAAACCTTACTGAAGCCTAGGCCCCACCCTGAACTACTGAAACAAAGTTTCCAACAAGTGAGTGGGAGTCATAACCGTAATCATCCATGGCTACCCACTGTAGGTTGTTAGCAATGCCAGTGTTCATCCTCATCACCCTTCTGCAGCCCTCTCTATCCACAGGTGAAGTGTAGTCTTTGTCACTAAGAAAAGAACATTTTTCTAGAAAACTTTATACCATTGTCACCATCCCCAAAAAGGAAATTTTAAGACTGTCAGTAAATGGAATCCTGGGATTATCACAGCTGACCAATTTCAGGTTCACACTCAAGCGCCTTCAGGTTCACACTCAAGCGCCTTCAATTTGGTCCCTGTCTTCTCTCTCCATTTGTACTCTCTGTCCTCATAAATATACTAATGTCCTCATACATGCTTTGAGGACATCCCATCCTTATTGAGTCTACTCTTCAAAGTGTGCCCTCCTTTCACAAGTATATGGTTCTATTCCTCATTCCCATGGCATAGGCTTGGGTGGGCACCAACAGGCCTGCATTTTAAACACTTATTTGCTACTGCTATTCAAATGAGAGTTAGATATTTAACCAACTCTCTGACCTTGGTTTAATTACCTGTAAAAATGTCATAGTTGAGCTAGACTATTTTGAGAGAAAGACACAGAGAAAGAGAGAGTGAGTTGTGTATGTGGAGGCCAACGGTCAACCTTGGGTGTCATTCATCAGGAACTGTCCATCTTGTTCTTTTTGAGCTACGGTCTCTCTCTGGCTTAGAATTCACCCAATAACCTAGGCTGCTTGGCCAACAAACCCTAGGGATCTATCTGTCTCTCTGCCTCCTCAGCACTAGAAAGCTCCATAATCTCTATATTCTCTGTAATACTCAGGGTCCACTCTACTCTTAAGAGTTGAAGAACTACAGTTTGACTGATATTTGAGCAGTGAACACATAATACAACCAAGCAGCCATCAGTAGAAGGCATTTTCAAGTTCAAAGCCTTGTTTGACACAGAAACAGAAAACAGGTGATGAGATTTAACCTTCAGGACAAGCTTGGAGGAAAGTGAAACTAAAACCTTACTCACTTTGTTGCAAGCTTCAAATTTTTTAGCAAAACTAACCACTTTCCTTTTGAAAAAAAGAATCAAAATACAGTTTGATTCCATTTTCCTCCTCCTGACATGGAGCTCCAGACTCAAAATCTGGCTGTTTGAAAAGATGGTGCTGAGTGACCCAAGGCAGATTAGTTTAAAAGGGGTCCTTCCTTGGTCACTTCAACGGTTCTTAGGTTATTACACCCAACTTTCTGCATTCTGAAGAGATTGATATCTTTCTCACAAAAGGAGACTCAATTTAGTTTCTTAGAGAGCATCCTTCCAAAAAGTCTCCCAGTAAGAGGAGGTTGGGTGGGCTGCCAGTTCCTAAATTCTTCACAGTTTTTTTTTTTTTCTGAAACATATGCCACCACTCTGCATGGATGTATAATTGTGTCTGCATGGAAGTCTAATTGTGTCTGCCCACAGCTATGGTGAGCCAGCACAACTTGCCAGCAGGTTCTGGGAATGACCAGAGGCTAGCTGTTTTGGAGGTGGGCTTTCCCAGCCAGGCTCTCTTTCTCAACTGGAATGTAGTGGAAGAAGAAAGGAAGGCAACAAAGAACCTTCATCTTGTCTCTAACACATTATTTTTCAAGTGTCAGGCTTTTATGTGATTAATTAAGTATCATCCAGGCAACTTAATATGCATGAAGGAATAAAGAGCACAAACTTCATCATGAAACAGGCAAGATCTCACGAAGGGCTCCCTGGTGAGGTTTTTTTTTTTGAACTGTGCCTGTCAATAACAACCTTTAAAAATAGACTAAATTTGTATTCTTGCACTTATAAATCTTCCTGGTGTGTGGGGCTGCATAAATTCTCTTTTAATTAAAACACACACTTTCAGAATAAAACGGAAGTTTTCGCTCTTCTTTTTTTAACCCCTGAGTAAAAGCAAAAAAGGACATTCAAGAAGTTTCTTTTGCACAGTAGTTGCCTCCTCTGAGAGACCTTCTTTGGCCATTCGTTCTAACAGGATAACCAATATGATCCTATCAACCAGTACCTCTCCTTTTCAGGTTTATTGGAATGTAAGTTGTACATAGTAAGTTCTTAGGAGATTATGTCTGTGAA